CATTCTCTATATAAATACATTTTCTTATGTATAAAGGTTCCGCGAAAAGAACTGGTTATACTTTTTTCCTTTTTTAACCATTGTAATGATTCAGGATGAAGATAATGAAGCTCATTCCCTATGGACTAAATCCCATAAGAGGAAAAAGCATAAGAAAAAACAATGCCAAATAGTTCGTGATAGTTATCATCATGTGTAGGACAAATTTCCTGTAAAATCTTTCGTGATTTATTGCCTTGAAGTTTATTCGTTACGGCACTATATATGCTATGCGAGTCTGAGTAAGAACTGTCAGTCACTAGTAAGTCCATTTAAGAAAAAATCAATTCCGCACAAAAAAAACCTTCAAATTAACAAAGAATCTAGAAATAACAAATTTACCGATCGATGTTCCATAATAATTCCCCGAACATGATGATCAATTTTTTTCTGCTGATGCGCTGATAATGATGGAATATAATCTCGCAGTGAACTCAAAACATCAGTATTTTCTTTTCGTGATTGTTGTAACAGCTGATCAAATTCGTCATTTGTTAAAACCGTTAATATTGCCTGAAATTTGAAATTGATAGTAAAGCAAATTCTAATGTATATACGAATGGAAAAAAAATTTGACACGCATTCAGCATCCATGTTTCAAAATCTAAGTGATTAGATGTAAGCACCTAAATTTGTTTATTGAAGCACGAGCCAAATTAGCTTAGCATTTGAACCTAAAAATCTTAATCTCCACATTGCCAAATACTGAATTAAATTATTTCTTACTTCGTACCTTAAGAAGTTGAAACATTTTTTATAATTTATTATATGGATAATATAGTTGCATTTCCGAATAGATGGGCATAACAATGTTCGGAGCTGAAAAACTGCACTCCATCTTTTAACCTCCTATGCTAACAATCGCGAATATTTTTTATTATTCCCTATACAAAACTTTCGCCATTTGTATTAAAAATAACTAACAAAGTAGGAATGTGGAGCGTTTGCAACAGCACAGCGTACAAAATGAGGCCATAAATTTGGATCACTCTTCCATGGCTTTTTGTTTGCAATTTTCATCAATACATTTGAAATAAAACCACCGAGAGCAGGAAATATTTTATACGAGCATGTGACAGTGTAAAATAATATTTCTGAGAAGATACCATCATCACAGAGTTGGTCAATTGCTGAACCTATAGCATCTTTCGATGCTGTCAGTTGTGCTAGTAAAACGTCGATATCTGAAAATGAATTGCATTGTAATGGAAATTTGTTCTTCCAAAAAATAATTCGCATTCTTCCACCGCATATTTCAATAAGGATAAATAAATGAAAATTGGCATAAAAAGCAGCCAACAAATGCACAGTAAAATTTAATCAACCATTATCAAAAATTTCATGCACTTCTTCATCATCCTCTCCTTACTTCAACAGCTATAAATTAAACGATTAACATATCTCAAGCAAAAGACATTCTGACTCTCAAGCATAAATGAAAACTAACTCTGCAACAGTAAATTATTCTCCTCTTCATTTTCGGTGCGGATTTTATGTAGCGCCACAAGCAATTCACCTGCACCCATTGGATGAAGGCCAGTTTTAATACCTGAAATTTATTAATCAAAAGAATTAATAATGAACGGTAATTAGTCTGCAACAAATCCTTCAAACATAGACTAAGTTCATCCACAAATTCATTCTAATTTTGCACTTACTCCTTCCAACCAAAAGTTTGTTGAATACAATAGGTACTGATTTTTGATTGACTGGGGTGAGAACAAACTTTGGTAAAATGCTCAATATTTGATCCTGAAAATCATCATATTGAGTTACACACTTAACTCAGTGAATCAATAAAAATTCCCAAAAATAATAAATATAGAATCTTTTAAATCAAAATTTCAACCTTTCCAACCAAATCTTGCAAAAGAGATAAAAATACTCTTATTTTGTGAGACTATAGATTTCCTATAGTAACATTATATTTAAATCATAACAGATCGATACTTTATCGAGACCACTCAAAACCGGTATCATTGAGCGAACATCAGTTCTTCCCTGTTCATAAAGCGCAGTTATCCTATTTACAAGATCCTGAGTTGGAGGATCTATAACATAATGTAAATTAATTTTTTGGAACTAAGACAGATTCCAGATAGCGTTAATTAAAAAGATTCTGCAAAATTAAATCACAAATAAATTGCAAAAAGACTTCTTTCAGTGAGAAGATGTACTATTCTAGCAGCAAATGTTTCAGCCCCTTGAGGACAATTCTCAATCATTTCCAATAGATGCTCGCTTGTTGCACCCATCGCCTTTATGGCGCTATCAATTGTACGTAATGTAACCTGAAAACATGTACGCATTCCTTCTTCCGAAGTAATATGATTTTATAAGAATTCAACGTACCCTTCGAACTAAATGTTCTAATCAATTCAAACTTCAAAAAGGTTCCAAAATGATTTTAAGCAAAAAAAAATGTTAAAATGCTCTGTGATTTGCTTACGAATTCACCATATCACTATTAATCAGTAAGGTGAGAAGCGACATCAAGCTTTTATTTTCTTTTCAAAAAAGTTTGGATTTACTAAAAATGTTTTAAAAAATTTTTAAACGAATTTTTCTTCAAGATCAACTCCACCTTCCCTTCTTGCTTCATATATAAATATTTACAAATTAAAATTACTAAAAAGAATAGTAAAAATCAATTTAACAGGAACTCCAGTTCTACCCGTTTTATATCATTTGAAGATTTCGCATAAACATCAGCAAGAGTGTGTATCAGTGAATGATCAAGAGGAAGAATAGATAAAAATAGGTTTAAAGTAATGCGTATTGCTGCATCGTCCCATTGAGGTTTGGCACCTTCTTTTTCATATGTATAAAGTTGCGGTGGTGGGATTGGCTTTGTGCAATAATTTATCGAACAAATTAAATATTCTCTGACGTCTCCCCTGAAAAAAAAGACCTCATTTATATTTTAGGAAAATCGATAAAATGTAGTTACAAATTTTAATAAAGATCGATGAAAACTTGCCTGACGTAATCGATCTGATACAGTTCTTTTGCTGTTTCAACACTTTGTGTTCGGACATCAACTCTATCACTGAATGAGAAGTCAAGAAGTATACAAAGCAATTCATTTCGTTGCCTTGCTCGGGTTAAAATTAATTCACGCAAAGTCGTCATTCCAAATGCCCCAAATACCTAAAATCCATAAAAAAACCGCTAGTTTTCCAATAAGTTATCAAATTCTTTTATTTAAAAAGAATGAAAAATTAACACCTACCGAATCGAGGCAAGCAGTTCGTAACCATACGAGAGATTGCGGTGTTAACAGAGGAGCTTCCAGTAAAATCTTATGGAACAGACTGCAAAGAACAAAATGAAATTTGCAAACGCGCTAAAATTTATTATAATTAAGAGAAAATGGATGGAATTTGGAAAAAAATATTACGTTTCTTTGTGCTCTCCTCGCTCATATAATGTCTCCAATAAATTGCACAAAACTGCATCGTAACGTTGATAACGTCGAGATTCATTATGATATCCTTCTGTGGCATAAGAAGTACAGCACAAGGAGTATCTAAATAATTAAATGTATTTTTTTTCCATTAGATTTATAACGAATAAACGGGTTAATACAAACATAATTTTTCACAGAATGCACAAATATAAACATATCTTTACAATTTCAATAAAAAATTATCAGCAGTGGTACCCTTGAAACTGTGCATAGAGTTCTGCTATCCATAACAATGCCAGCTCAGATCGTGATTTTTGTTCCTGTACAATAAAAGTCATAAGTAGATCTTCAAATTCAGTGCATGAATCATGATCGAAACGAGTTACAAGCCTGACCAACAGTTTCTGTTGTGCAACACCTATACCACCTTGGATTGCTCTTTCTATAAAATTTCACATAGCATAAAAAACAAAAGGTTTAATTCACAATACAGGATAAATAAATGAACAAACAAGTTAATGTAGATGTACTATACAATATGTGCAGTCAAAATAAAACACTCTGACTTGATAATCTTTCCTACATATTTTGAAAAATTGTTAACAACGAGGACTTTAAGAGAGCTGATATCCCTGCTAATCTTTAACTAAAAAAACTAAAAAAAACACAATGGTCCACATACTTACTTTCGTTGGCTAATATCCGTTGAAATGCAAAAAGAATAAGTTTCAGCGATTGTTCACGATCTAACTCTTTAGTAATAGAAAGCAATCCAAATTGAATCTTCGATTTAGTTTTTGTTGACAAAGCCTGAAAAAATAAAGTAACTTGTAGCAAACTAGTATTCGGAGAGAACATAAAATAAAATAGCTAGCGACATTTATAACAAATCATTTTATAACAAACTGCTGGCGATACAGAATCAGATTGTTGCGTTTGATTTTGCTGCGCAGAGGCAAATTGTTGAAGTGGACTAGACGGAATGACAACGTCTTCCATTCCCGCGGCTTGATGAGCTGAAGAAGTTTTATTAGAAACGACTATGGCTTGTGTAAGTTGCGTAAGTTACTCAACCACAAATTAAGAAATGAATATTTGAACTTACTTTCTCCAAAGTAAAAAGAAATTCAATTCTGATTAGATATATTCAATTCGTAAACAAATTCATAAGTAGTATTCACTTCTCTATCATTTAATCATATTATTCCTGCGTTACTGAGTGATTATAAATAGACGAAAATAACCTATAATGTGTTGTTTTTCTTTTCGAATTTTTTCGACTCCTGGACCTAAATCCATGTTAGTTAACTGTGTTGCGATCATGCGTGACAAGTGCCGAATCTGATCTTCCGTGCCAGCTGCAGCAATAGGGGTATATGATGACTGAAACGCTGCAGGCATTTCCTCTGGCAGTGTTACCTGAAATACAAAATTAAATCTTGAAAAAAGAGAAAATTCCACTTTTGTTAAGTAAAGTTCACTGACTGATTTGTGTTTGTTTGGACTACAAAAACTGTCAATAACATGACTAACTTACAAGAGATACAAGAACTAATTCTGTAACCAAATTTGGTTTCAATCGTTCGTAGACAAATTGGGCAGTAATATCAATAGCAGACTGAGTTTGACTTTTTTCTATACAGGTACTTGGACCAGCTTCGTCTTCGTATTCTTCATCATCCATTTTTTCAACAACTGATGGAGTTTCCCCGGCACCCTTGAAAAATTGACACAAATTGAAAAACTTGAATAAAAATTTGTGTCAATAATATTAGAGTAAGTAAAATGATGCTGCACGCCACAATAAGCAATTACACATACAGAAACCTCACTTTCATCTTTTTTGTTTCCGGCTCATCATTGTTTTCATTACTTCGGTGAAATTTTTTTCGCTGTTCACCCGCAGAAGGTAATGAGCGTAAAACTTCCTGCAAAAGAAGTCACAAATTTAAAATTGTTGAAAGAAAAAGTTAATCAGACAAAAATTTCATTGTGGCAATTATTTTCGTATTGCCTACTTCATCAAACTTCAATCTCAGTTTCAGTTTTTAAAAATATCTTTTATCGGGCATTTTTCAAAGTGAAGTTAAAATTACCGATTGCGCAGCTCCTAAATCTGTTAATAGTGTCATTATTCTTGGATGAAAAGGTATGCTACTGGAATGTCGGAGAAGGCGTAAAAGATGCATTTTCAACTCCTTGCGCACACTTTTCACTTGACTCGTTGCCAAAGTTGGGGGGAGATTGACATGTAAAGCTTCCAGAGCTCCTAAATTTTCAGCATTAGATTAACTTGATCTAAATAAAAGAAATTTAAAGAATCGGCGAAAGTCATTCGAATAAAAGATAAGTCATCACGTCATTTAAAAAACATTTAGTAGTCTAAGAAAAATTGAACATGAGATATGAACGCAAAGAAATTTCAAATAAAATATATAAAATAATCCAATAAATTCTAAAATTCATACCAACAACCCTTTGCATAAATTGTGGACGCTGTTGAGCGATATTGCAGATACAAGTCAAACAAGTTAATAAATTGAGCGAAGATATATGTGCCGAAGAAATATGATCAAGTAGCGAATTAAAATTTAGCGTCGCTTCACTCTCCATTTTCCGATATGAGATAAATCGATGGTCACGGCCAATTTCGTTTAAGCACATGTTATCACCACGACCTTTTTCACTTTCCTAAGTAAAGTCAGTGAAGTATAACGGTGCGTTAAGGAAAGTATATTTCAAAGTCTTGATACTAAATATTCAGGTCTAATGAAATATGAAAAAAATGATTTGAAATACTAACTTACCTCTGTTCGTAGTGTTTGTGCAAGGATTACAGCTTCCAAAAATCTAATAGTTTGGGTGCGTATGCTGTAAATGTTAAGTATTTATGAAAACGAAAATCTATAGAAAGTTAACTAAAACACAGTCATCAAAAAATTAAATCAAGCTGTATACCAATAAGTACCCATAAAAATCATACCCTTCGTTATCAGAATCAATGTGCTGCATGATACGTCCTTTCAGCACCGAGAAAGCTTCCCAACATCGTGCGGTCTCAGCACTGCGTGATCCAGCTGCCCATTTTAAAACAAATGGATACAGCTGCGAACATACTGTGATCACCTTCAAATAATAGCAATTCGGGAGATTTTCAAAGAAAAACAAAAAAGTTAACTCCAAAGAAATGAAAATTCAATTAAACAATAAATTTAAGTAAGGTTTCTTTCTGTTCTTCTTTATCTGAATCAAGTTATTGTCACTACAAGGCTCCATTCACCAACATCATACTTCAACTAGTTCGAAATTTACAAAAAGTGAAATGATATGCATCATTAAAGTATTAGTTGTAAGTTAGTCTGAATATCAATAAAAGTTGGTTATTTATGGAATTAGTTTATTAATAAAATCCATATCATCACCTTTTTGATAACCGCGACCGTTCCTATGCCAGCAGCTTGAATGAGATATGAAAGCGAGACAACAGCTTTTTTCATCACTTCGCAATCCTTTTTACTATAATTAAATAAAATTACGCCAAAAATGTTGAAACTATGAAACACTCCGGAGTATAAATAGAAACTCTTAACATACCAAGCTTTCTCAATAAAAGATGCAACGAAGCAGCGCATTTTCGAGTCATTTTCTACTACAAACTCTAGCATTTCATCGAGGAAGTTGTCGAGAAGAGAACTGCTTTTATCTTTATGTAGTAGTAATTCCTGTGCCTACAAATATTTTTGCAACTAAAATACAGATGACATGCTCTTAACAATTTGGGGTGAATTGAAAAATTTTACTTAATGTTATTTTAATTTCTAGTTCTTGACAGTTTAATCCAAACCTAAAAAAAATTATGAGAAAGCGCCAAGTCAATTCTTGAATTTTGTTTAATACTTTCAGCTGTCACAGTCCAATGAAACTAATTCCCGGCAAACTGCTGCACATTCCTGATCCTCATTTTTCTCACAGCAATTCATATTCCTTTTACTCTTATGAAATTTGGATAAAAATCAATACCCTATATAAATGTTTGATACGAACATCCACTGATTTACCGGACGATTGATGCGCTTCTCGTATTTCATTTCCAATCTAAAAATTTTGGTCCAAATCTTATTCTTTTCTCAATGATGCGGATTTCCTTCTTCCTTGGAATGTTGACAATTACTTATGGGATGCAATTTACATAAAAATTTGCTCAAAATTAAGGATTAAGAAGATGTTGAAATAAACTAACCTCTTCGCTCGTATTCTCACTATCTGCCATCCTTACTGTATCCCTGTGACGCAATCAATTCCTTCCTTTAAATGATTACACATCTATGCATATCTGATAGCAGTCATTATCACATTCACTAGTACAAACTACGAACAGTAAGAATTAAAAAAGAGGAGATAGAATAGTGACAAACAAGATGTATCAATTTCTAAGGTTCTCAAAAAACAAATAAACGGAGATTTTATTTCTGAATATGTAAGCCTAGGCCAAGCATTTGTAAAAAAATCTGCCAGTCTTAACCCTCACTTTCTGCACAACTTCTCCAACCAATTGAACGTAAATTCATCAACCATTTGTTTGTCAACCAGTTTTTAGCGATTTACGTCCAAACCTACATGGTCTGTGAATGGAATTGGTGGGAGTTATGTTTTTTTAAATCCGATATTTTGGTTCGTCTGATATATCTCTTTTTCAGGATAATGACTACCACCAACATCGATGAGAGTAATCCAACTTCATTCCAGTTTAGCAATAAATTGAGTAAATTTGATTTTATTACATTCCGAGAACTTATTTGTTGGAAGTGAAGCAATAGCATGTCCCATCTGTCCGATGAAGTATTCATTTATTTCTCGAACGTGAAATTCGTCAACTCTAATCGAATCACATGTGGGAAATGAAATTATTTAAGAAATAAGCTGAAATAAGTGTTACAAAATTAGAAAAATAATCAGTTCAGATACCGTTCGATCAAATCGTTCATTGGTTGCTGCTAATCAACAGCTTCGCATTCAACTTGCATTCGCTAAAGCAGAAATCATTCGATTGCAAAATGAAATCGTTGACTTGCAAAAACGAATTACCGGACTTGAATCAACGAATGATGAAGAACGTATCGAAATGATTGTGACAAAGAGATTACAGGCTTGTTTTTTATAGAATGAGTATAAATTGTATTATTTTCTTTTGCGGTAGAGAATATCTTAGCAGTGATTTTTGTATATATGTTTTTGTTTTCATTTTAAAAAACCGGAAGAATAAATAAAGAATTTTATTCTGTAGCAAAGAGTGCAGCACTTGAAATGTATAGCTAGCCGCACAGTGCAGTATATGGAGAAAACAAAAGCAGATTTTGATCGTGCTGCAAATCGCCTCGATCACACTCTGTTAGTGAAATTTATTTTTATTTGTCGTTTATTAATTCATTGTACTTTTTCTGTGATAAAAGCATTCGACTTTTTAGCCTGTCAAATAATTTTGATGACGGTGCTATTTATGCAGGTGAATGCAGTCAAAGTATTACAGCGTCTTTATCGTGTGGAACAGGTTTGCTCATCACGTTTTATCCGTTTTATTCTCAGAATTTACCACATTTTAATAGGCGCTTTCATATAGTTAATTTGACAAACATAATTTAAGGAGACGAAATCATTGGACGTCGTTTGCAGCGGCCTCCTACTCTTGAAGCTGTGGAGGAGGTGGATTACTTGCTTCTTTATTTTCCTCTGTTTTAAAAAATTATAACATGAATTTGATTTCTTTTAACATGCATGATCTAATCACTAAGTGTAGTTGATCTGTTCAAGTTGGCATTATTTCCAGTATTTAGGATATTTGCGGTGAGATGGATGAAAATGAAGATGCCATTTTTGATAGAAGTCTGCTCATACCCATAAGCGGCGATAATTTTAAAAGATCGCCAAATGATCGCATATCTAGTCGTAACAGTCGACGAGAAACTTTTTTTGTCAAAAAGGAGCCTATTGAATTTGGTCACCTTTTACGCATATGATAGAATTTTCAATTTTTTTTTTGAATCCTTATCTTTCTCTGTAAAATTTCCAGACAATTTCCAACCGATTTGAATTTCAGAGCAGAAAATTTTTATCGATTTATGTGTTTTCAGAAAACAATGTCGAAACTTCTTTTACCGAAGAATTTTTTCCTGAAAGAAATCAGACGGTTTCTCCTTTGTCAGTTCAGAACCACGAAGGTTGTTCATTTTGAATCTGTTTGAATCTGTCGAAGATTATTTCTGTTTTAGTTTTTAATTTTTGCCATTTTTAAAGTGTTTGAATCAAGTAAAACCAAAGCTGTATTACAGATCCACCAGCTATTGCAGTTATAACCGAACCTATAACCCCCACCACGATCTCTTTGCCAAAAACTCCTACTGTATTCTCTAAACTTGAAACATCAACTTCTAGCTCTAGATCTAAGTCCTTTAAATCGAGGATACTGCATGATGAAAATATGCGAGCAAAAAACAGTCAAATCAGGAAATCTGAAGTTATTACGCATAACGGGAAGAAGAGGAAAATTTCAATTAATGAAATTCCGAAGTAAGTTAATTATTCAAAAGTGTGAAAACTACTTTGATTTATTTTTTGAATCTCGTGATTTTTTATTTGCAGAAAATGTAAAAAAAGCTCGGAAAATAATGCAGAATTTACGAAAGAAATCAGCAAATTGTTGTTAACTCCAGCGTCTACGTCTTCTACTGGTATTCTCAGCATAGCAAATTTAAATGAAGGTGTCCGATGCAAACGTGCTGCTGCAGCTAAGATATCATCTTTCAAGGAGCCAAATTTAGTAACTAAAATGCGGAATCCAAATGTTAATTGATGCATTTAGTAGGAGTAGGAGACTGGGAAGAATGAGAAGGAAATTGGACGTAAGCTATTCTTTGTTGAAGTCAGTTAAACAACTGACTTTTTTTGTTAAATATTTATTTAAATTGTTGTATATTGTGTTTTAAAAAGATGTATTTGAGTAGATGATTTTTTACTGTTCAGTTTTCTATTTTTCATTATAGTGAATTGTGATTTCTGGCCATATTTGTTCAAAATAGACGAATTTCTTGCATTTTATGTTACTACTTGTTTGATTGCATAAGATCAATCCTTCCATAGGAATTCTGATTGAAACGTGGCTGAAAAGAGATCCATACTTATTGAGCTATTCGCTTGACTTGTATGGATTGTTTATCATACAGAATTTCTACAGAACGACTCATTGTTGCTTTAAATAAAAAGAATGAGATTCCTGATGTCGAACTGATTGAGATATTAAATGAACTTTATTTCTCTCTGACTTACTAGTCAGTATCGTTTATGTTTCTAATGTTGAATTAAAAATAGAATAGAGGTTGCATTCGAGGAAGTGTGGAACCTTACATATGATCTTTAAGTTGGTGGGCCAAGGTCGTAGACTTTAACAGCAATTAGTTAGCATTCAGTGATCCTCATTAGAGGTTCTGGATTTTGTATTACGTCAGTGTAACGAGCATTATGATCGAGGCAGCTCTATGTCAAGCTAATTTATAAGTCAAAATGCAGCACTTTTGCTTTCATCGTTTAATAGCATATTGTTGGTATCATATGTGCAAAAGTTTTTTTGGCTCATCTTTCAATTCTATCTTAAGTAATTAAGTCTAAAATAATTTTAGATTTTGAGAGTAATTTGGAAAATTGGAATTACACGATAAAGACACTGCATCAATAATGGTCCAGATATAGTCGCCAAAATATCGAGTACTTAAGAGTTCCTTTAAAGATCACTGGGAGTGTTGCCTCACACTTACGAAGAAATTTATAAATTGCAGATTGCTGTTCGAAATCACTATTATTGTTAATGCTTCATGTAGGTGAACCTCACATCATCTTCGAATCGGGAAATGCACTGAGCGAAATCTTTTATGATGATGTTAACAAGAAGGTAGCAATATTTGAAAAAATGAATGAATTAAGAAAATGTCTGAGTGAAATGAAAGTGGAATGATCGCTTCAGCTATTAGCACTCTTTAAGATTTCTAAGCTTATCGTGATTGGAGCGATATGAATCTTTTGTAATTTTTAATGAAGTTTGTTAATTTAGATTGTAACAGTTCGTGGCGATGATGTTGTGGAAGTGAAGGCCTATGGATTAGAATCAGATGAGATCATCTCATTTCGGTAATTTTAATTTCTGAGCTTGAAATACGGTTGAGAAGTATTGCTGTCTACTTTCATCACTGAATCCATTCTTTTGAATCACATTATCCGGCTGTCTTCAGTGATTAAAATTGTTTGCGCCGCCTCATTTTTTAATTTTTAGACGGATTTTCCTGTGTGATAAATGACTTTGTTGGAAATGTTATTCAAGGATGGTATGCTGCTGAGCAGGATACAACCCTTACAATGATTTCATTTATTGATGTATATTTAAGATTGAAGAACAAGGATAAAATTCGAGCTATCAAATTTTCTCCAAATAAACATTTGATATGTGTGCAATATGATGAGTCTACTGTCGTAAGTTTTTTTTTGAAATAACTGAAATTTGAAGGATATTTATAGGTGCACAGAAAAATACTTTTAATAGATATTTCTAAGACTTATATCTTTGGAAGAGTAGCATTATAAAGATAGTTCATAATTAATAATAAAGTTCAAAACATCTAAATTGATCTAGTTTTCTGAGTTTCATATTCCAATAAATTTAATAATTACAATAAATATCGTACATTAGCAATGATTTTATGATATTTCATGTTTAAATAACATGTATGTATTTTATTTTAAGGATTTTGTAAACTTCATAGATCTTAGTATTGACGTCTTATCTACGTGTTTCTCACAACCAACGAAAAATCGTTCAGCACATATTATCGGCCTGGAATGGATCTTAAACAACCAGATTCTCTATATTACAAACCAGGTTTTTATTTAACTTACAGTCTGCTTTGATTGTTATTATTTGAAAATTCGTTTTCTTCTAATCTTTGAAAAGCAAACTGCTACATCACCATTTTTAAAATAAATTAAATATGTGTAATTCACTTAGCATTGTTACTTTCATACAACTTTTTTAGGGATTAGAGTTGTATCAAGTGAATGCAGAGAAGAAATCAGTCAAGCTGTTAAAATCATATAATATTTCGTTATACTGGTATTTATACTATGTAAGTTCTATTATTTATGTTTTAGATTTCTTCTGAATATTTTTAACTCATATCATTTAATTACTAATTGTCTCTACTTAGTATAATAGAGTCAATACTGATTTAGAGTAGTTCGTTCAACCATAGTTCTATTTTCTACAATAGGTTTGAAGACTGCATATTCTTCTGATTATTTTCTGGTGAAGGAAACTTTGGAAAGTTTTCATGAAAGTGATTTTTTTTCATTTTTTTTTTTTGGTTCTTATTAATATTTCTTTGAAATCTTCAGCCTTATTCGCAACTGCTTGTTGTGTCATGTGGAGTTGCCGGTGCTTTATTAAATCCTTTTGTTATTCAGGTACTGTTACTGATTTTCTATTGGATTTAAAGAAAAGATGGATTTAAATTCTATGTCGCTAAGATTTAAATCAGCAGGATAGGTTTTTGCGTTTATTGAATTACTGTAATTTAGAATGGAAGTATACATCGATTGATGAAGTTCGAGGTTGAGTTTGGTCGTTCAAATACAAAACCGCGGTTGTCGGAACGGGAAGTATTTGTTATATCTATGTTGGTTGTTCTTTTTATTTCTCACTTTAAAATCATTGTTTGACTTTGCATGGATTAAACTCTTGTATCATTTCATTTTAAGAATTCTGCTTTGTGAGTTAGATTGTATCAGGTCTTAATGGCAAGCTGCCTATTGATTAGGAAATGGCGAAGTGAAGAATTTAACTCCAGATGTTCAATAAACTTTTCTTTCAGTGTCGGGCTATAAAGAAATTTTCTAGCGTTTAGTTCATCATCTCTTTCTCTGAAGCAGCAGGTTTTTGACAGAGCAGCATTCCCTCCAAAACAAATAGAGTCTCGATAGTTCTTTTTTTTCAAAATGTTTGATTAAATGTTTGAGTACTTTTGGGGCAGTCAGGAATATATTAACAACTGCGAATCTTTAGACATATCTTGCCATATTTTTTCAGTTATAATGCATTATACATAGCAGTGTTGCGCAGTGGCACTCGTGATTCCACCAATTCCGATATCGCTTTGTATAAAATGAGTATGGATAGAACGGAGGTGCCAAAGCTTGCTCACATTTTGCATTTGGATATGGTCGGTGCCTTTGCCTTGCACGGATTTAATAACTTGGTTGTTGTGCACCATCAAGTAATATTTTGAATTCGAATTTACTGTTGCTTTAATTTTTTCACAACTCACGTTGTCATTGTTTATTAGCGTAATTTTGTTATATTAGAATGAGAGCATTCCTTATATTAAAAGATTGTAGCTAGTGTCATATGTTAGAAGATTCTGGCAGATTGATCGTTTGTACTCGCATTCCAACCAGTCTGTTAATATATGTTCTGCTAACACATCTATCGCTGTCTTTTCAGAGTTCAAAAACGTCATTAATTTTCGATATTGGTTTGGAAGAAGTTTCAAGAGGTGGTTGCATTTTGTATCCTCTCTATAAAACTTCTTTAAACTGTTCGGATTCGTTGCAGGCCAAATTTAGTCATGAATTCAAATTATACAGTCCTTTTTGGGTGATGTTTCAGCCAAACTTTATTACGGATGCAAGCGTTGGTGTTTTCACATCAGTGTCATTAGATCCAATTGAAGCTAAAAATTATATTGAGAACGAAGTAATTCTATCTTTGATCTATAAATTAATATACGCTTTTATCTTCATAAAACTTCTTTAAACTGTTTTTAGTGGCACCCAAACTGAGCAAAAGTGAAAATTTAGAAGTTAGTCTTACTTGTACTAATGAAATTCTTTCAGTATCACTACTTACGTTTTCTGTATAATAGATGTATTCCAAAGTCGGTATTTTTGGAAATTTTGAAACATTGCGTATTTACTAATAAGCTGAAACTGAAACAACTGGAATATATTTTTAATTGGTTCGCAAAAGCGATTGCTAAACGTTGTCTGCCAATTTTGAGACTTAGCGGTAAATTCATTCTTTATTTTATCTTACATTTTTTTACTTTCTTGATAGATATGGTAGTTGCAATGCAAAAATATTCTTTTCATAACGTAATTGTTATATTTAGAAGCCGAAGTTTCCTGAAAATTTGAGTTAGATCTTTGGAAGCTCTTTCCTGAGGCATTTATTGCCTAATTTAGACAAGCTTCATTTCCTAAGATAGTAAAAGAGCAATGTGTATTGCATTTCTTCTTATTTTTGCTTTATTGATCATGTGACAGACAAAAATATTATCTCTGAAAGAGAGAATTATTCGAATCTTGCAGATAGTGGTGTAAAATATACTTTGATGGCCGAACAGTACGAAGAAATTACTGTTGAACAGGAGGATGTTGTGGGTAATTTATTTCTGCTGCCGGATGATTATACATTTGATCAGAAACAGCGTTTTCTGCAATATATGTTGCGCTACCTTACAGCTTTGCGAGAAAACAAATTAGAAGTGCAGGTTCGCTTTGTTTTTGCTCAGTCATCTATTCGGTAAGAGCTTACCATCTCATGAATTTATTAACATGAGATCTGAAGCATATCAAGTTAATTCAGTTTGCTGAAGGCCAGTATAGCTAAAAAAAACTAAAAGAGAACTCTTACTCAATTGATGTAATTCTTCCTCAATGAGTATGATTTTTCCTATATATAAATGTAATAAAAAGTTAATGGTTCCTGCTTTCGGAGTCTGCTTTTTACGATTCCAGTCCTCCTTGGAAATGGAGTTGATTGCCAAAAGCTATTGTCCTTTCCTCTTTAATCTCATCTTATATTTCGTGGGATTGAATTTTTGCCAGCAATCAGTGAATTTTATAAGCTCATTAATATGAAACTAATATATACCAAACTATATACGAAACTTTGGCAAAGAATTTATGATTTATTCGTAAGCAAAAAAAAACTAAATCTATATCACACGATTTGTTGGCAAATGTAAATCCAACGATTTTTTGCTAATTTTATTATGCCCATGTTTTAGCCCTACTTTCTAAATGAAATATTGGTACCCACTATGATTACAATGGGGAAGTTGGAAAGACTTCATCAGCTTCTTCTATACCGCATTATTCCAGATTCTAAACAACTTGTTTGTTTTATTAATGTTTTTAAAATTCATTCTCAATAGTTTTATCAGTTCATTTTTTTTGTTCTGATACGAATTAAACAGTGTTTGTTACAGCTACCATTTTAATTTCAGTTATCTGAATTTCACATTGCACTTAAAGAAAAAATCCAAGAATTTCTTCACTTCTTATTTTCAGGCATTTCAACTTCTTTCTCACGAAGCAAAATATTCTCCATTGCTTCAGCTCGCTCTGGATATGCTGTTTAGACTTGGCACTGCTACTGAAGAAATTGTTGAGATTTTAATAGCTAGAAGTCTGGTTATAGAAGCTATCAGGTCGAACATATTGAAATTTTGTTAAATCGACTTCAAAATATGATTTCATAATAAAACTAAAACGAAAAGCATTTGTAGATTCTTGGAGAGTTTACAAGCAACAGATAAGGTGAATGGTTTGAAGCTTATTGAAAGTGCATGGAAGGAAAATCGTTTGATTCGTTACGCTGTCTTTTCGTACTTTCTTGAACGTGGTTCGAAAACTAGAAATTGCACTATGAACTGTTAGTTCCTTTCTGCTTGCATTGTTTAGTTGGTTAATGAAAAGTCGCTTTGTTTTTGCTTGAATAAATAAAATATTCTTTGTAGTGATAACAAAATAATTATTTTGCATTTTCAGCTGGACAATTCGAAGAATTTTCGAAAAAATTTGAAACTTTATTTGAAGATGAAGAGATTGAAGCTGCTAGAAGAGATTTTCACTTCATGAATACTTCCTGAAATGAATTGTAGCAGCACCGGAAATTCTTAACTGCTAACAAATTTGTCGTCTCTAGGATTTCATTATATGAAAAGTCCAGTTAAAGTGCTGGAATAACGTCGTATATCATTTAAGCAAATGCACGGGCTTGATAATTTTTTACAGTAACCCAAAAAGAAATGACAAGCTTCGGTACAAGTCAAATTTATTAGAATAGTCAGATTCGATTCATTTCATTTTATCTTTTAGCGACTTATCAAAGATTTCTGTCCTCCATTTACACTGTCACTCACTGACTGTGTTGCGGTGCCCACAATACTTACAAAATGTGTAATTTTTGTCATTTTCCTTTCGAGAAATAATTCACTCCTTTAATGATTTTATTCATTCGAAAGTCAAAAAATAGATTTGGAAAAAGAAATTTTTATTTCGTCAATACCCATAATGCAGAAACATTTCGTGCCTTTATACTAAATAAGTACACTACGATAAGAAATAAGTCAATGAATAAGTAAGCTTTCCTTTATTTTGTATCAGTCCATGCTTACGAATAAAGGTTAAAGAGAAATTATTTTTTAAAAAAGTTTGAAGTCATGCCAAGGTATAGCTGAAGACTTTGTATCATAACTCTTAATGCATTTATTACAATATGTTTATTTTTTTTGCAGCGACATTATTGAACTTTGCGCTCTTTCATTCTGATGACCAAATTTTGCAAATTAAGTTTTTCAGCATGCCCAAGTGGTGTTAAATCAAAATAATCGCTCTTGTTCGGATCAGCACCTTGATCGAGCAAATAATGTAACAGTTGCTCATTTCTCGATTCCACCGCCTGCAAGATATTTCATTTCCACTGGGTATCCACTTTCCTTACCTTTGCATCGGAAAAAAAGTCAACTTTCCTAAAAATAAATGGGACAAGTGTTCAGTACGCAAACGAAAAAAAACTGAAACTTACAATATGCAGAGCAGTCTTGCCACTATAATCCTGTTGATTTATATCAGCTCCGGCAGCAAGCCAAGAATTCAATGTCTCCATGTCACCACGACTGGCGCACAGACACAATTCAACACCTTCAAATTTGTTTGGTAAATACTAAACATTTAATCAAGAGAATGACTGATTTTTTTTGTGAAATAAACATTTTATAAGAGTTTACCTAGTCGGGATGAATTTACGGAAAGTGTTGCTCCTGCAGATCGCAAAGTCTCAATGCAGATCTTGTTTTTTGTTCTCACTGCAGCTGCAAGAGCATTCTCGCCCCACTGATCCCTGCAAGATATAAGTCATCATAAGAAGGTTTTTAATCTGTCCTACGGAGGTTTTGTGGATGGATTTTGATGTTAGAAATGTAAAATCGATCACTAAAAAAATTTCTGAAGAAATAAATAGAATGTTGGGTGGGGCCTATAAAAGATTCTGACAAACATAGAATGGCATAATCAGCATTGGTGTATGCAAGAAGCGCAGCACAGTTTCTTTTGCGACCAATTCTGATTTCTTACCTAAGCTGGAAATTAACACCTTGAGTCAACAGGTACTTGACAACATCAACGTGTCCTGCACTTGCTGCTATATGTAAAACATTGCGTCCGCTGTAGTCAACAGCCGAGAGATTAGCTCCATTTTCATGAAGTGCGTTAAGCAACTCGATGTCACCACTATTGGCTGCATGACATAGTAGCTGTGGCAGGAAAGCGTGGCGGAGAAATTTAATTTCAAATGTATTTAGATGCGGGAACCTTGCCATCTGTGAAACTGAAATGCTTCAAGTTACAGTTTGAAAAATCTAATTTTTCAAAAAAAACGGAGAAAAATTAAACTGAAAACCACAAGAAAATTTTATAAAGTTTAATGTTTTTTTAAAAATCCACCAATTTCAAGCTCCCTGAGTGGTTTTTCTTTTATGACGGTTAGTTCGCCTCTGATATTTTCCATCATCATTGCTTTTTTCTTTGAAAGTTCCCAACAGTCTTTGCTCAGTACATATGATAATTTCGTTAATGCCGCTTCCGCAGTCATATCTGCACCGGAAATGACTCCTATATCAAAAAGAATCTGAAAAATAAGTGGAATAACTGAATGAACAGGAAAACTCAATGACATGATTTCACAGATGGAAACAAATTTTAGTGACATGTGATTACAGCATCAAATCATATACACTAAAATGATTGGTGGACAAGCTGCACGCAGTTCAAGTTAGTAAAATGGTCAAGTTTTGAAACTCTTTCTAATCACAAACCATGTCAAAGAGTAAAAATAAAACCGAAAAAGGAGCCAAAAGCAAAGTGTTTGCATTTAGTCATAATTTTATTATTTTTTCGAATGATCAAATAAATTCGTATGAAAATTAAAATTTAGAGTTTTTTCAGATAAGCATAAAATGAACATGAACATAACATGCTAACCTTTCCTGTTAAATATTGAACATCCACTTGTCCCCGGACACACTGTGAGCAATTAATAATAATACATCCTCGATCAATAGCTTTTTTCAATTCATCTATTATATCCGTTCTCTGAGATGGCATATTACCAGCACCAAATGTCTGTAGGACAACACCTTCAACGGGTGGCTGCAAGGATGCTCTAACCTAAAACTTCACGTCCATCACTGTTTTTTCTGGAAATTTGAAATATGAAAAAAAATTAGTGGATTTTTCATTTATTTTGAGCAAGGATTTTTCAAATTCTTAAAAAATGCATTTTTCTTCTATTTATTAAAAAATTCTGTGGATTCTGATGAAACATAATGACCAAATGATGCATTTGGAAGCGATCTCCATAAATGTAAATAGAATGATTATCAAGTAAGCACGAATGGCTTGCGATATTAGTTCACAGCATGGTCGTTTTTTGCTCTTTAATTTGATTTGAAATATTTGCAAAAGTACTTCAAATGCAGACAAACCCATTCAAATTCATCACATAGTAAATCTTATAGCACAACGGCTTACATTTTCTATGGAAATTGATGGAAAAATTCTCAACACTCCAACATTTCGACATAACTGATCGTGCATTACGAATGGAGCCATTGAGGAAGAACAAAATATGGAATCATAATTAACTGCAAAAGTTATGCTTTCAAAAAATATTGAAGTTGCAAAAGTTGAAACAAATGAAACAGTAAAAGCAGAACTAAAAAAAGAATTGACTTCACTAAACCAAATTCATTTTTTACAGAGTCATTCACTGCCTGCCTTTTATATCAACATCCATGTGAGCAATTGGAGGCACATTTGGGCTTTCAAAGGCCTCCATCGAGCTGTTATCTATCTTTACTGTACGATTCCCCCGAAACAGTTTATTATTAAAAAACACAGTAACTTCAGGAATATTATAATAAGCTGCCATAATCAGTGCTCCAATCAAATTTCCCCAACCATCAGAACGAACCTCAAATGCTGGTATCTGCAAAATATCAACTTCAAAAAAATCATACCGTAAATTTCTACAAAATTTTAGAAAATTCCAAGAGTGACGTTTTCCAGGTAATTACAGAAATGAAATATCATATGGTTATAGAAAATGATTATAATGATAATAATAAAAAAATTCACTACAGTATCAATATATTAGCGTTAATGCAAATCAACATCATTAATTAAAAATAAAAAGAGAGATAATATTCGAACTGCATATTTATCTATAAAGAGCTAATACCAATCTTTTCGCATAAATTTTGATCACAGGAGTTTGAGAATCTAAAATTAATTGAATCAGTGGAGTTGCTTACTTGGGCCCCTGTTATAACAATGGATTTTCTCACGTTCTCGAGTATAAATGATAGAGCACATGCCGTATATGCCAGTGTGTCAGTACCATGCAATATAACAAAACCTACATATTGATTATAAGCTTCTTCAATATCCTTACCAATTTTAATCCAGTCATCAAATGTTATGTCTGATGAATCCAAAATTGGATCATATTCAACCATCTGAAAATTGTCCTTTAATGGACCATGGTGTTATATATACAGCTGTAATGATGTGGCTTTTCAATCTCCTTTATCCTTTCTTCAGCTAAAATTCAAGTAACTGAGACAAAAGTTAAAACAGTTTAAAACAGTATTGATCTATTAGATCAGGAAAATAAGAAAAGAGTTCAGATATCAACAAAACTTGAACTTTAAAGCTCACTTTATATTGAATGAATAAATTTAAATTCATTACCCAATAAACAATACGCTTTTTTGAATGGTTTAGCGACGGCAAACAGTATGGCTTTATTTCCGCTTCGGCATAGTTTGTGGACACATAATCATTATCGTTTAATAGCGGCAAATCACGTATAGTACGCAGAAGATAATTAGCTTCTGGGCGATATACTGAAAGTTATGTTCTGAAATCAACGCCTTCTTTAACTGTAGCATGCAATTCGTAATTACAGAAAATTGATACATCATACTTAAATGACTTCATTTCTTTGTTTATTACAATACAGTTAGTGGAGTACAGAATGCGTTACACTTTCAGCCTATGTTATTAGAAGTATTAAAACATAATGTTTAGACCTCCATCAATGCATTTCATCCCAATCGTTCCACCCGTGTATAATACTAAAACATGGGCCTCTTTTTCATTCTGCATTGCACCGATGATATCTGTTTAAGTACTGCTGTTCAACCTTCCGATGCTTGACAACTCAGTTGCTGCAAAATAGATAATCCTTTAAGAGAATTTCAAAATCCGTCCCTCAACAATTTTATGTTCAGTACCACTTTTTCTCAACCAATGATATTTTATAATGCGCTTGAGGAAATGTTTAGTTTGGTAATGAATACCTAACATCTTCCATAAATTCTTTATTTCAATTGCAACTTTGCTGATATTAGCCTAGTTAATACCTTGGCATTTTTTGAGGCCAGAAGAGCGCATCAGTGCATGAAACATAAAGATTACTCATGGAACCTTTTTTTATTTAAGAATGATTACGATGATTTCATCATTTACCTAAGCTTGGATTTATTTCATAAATAAATTTCTGAAAAATTATAACGTACATAGTTGAGCGTGACTCTGTAGAATAGTCTCAGGAAAGGGTGTGGCGCTTGTCATATGCTGTTTTGAAATTTTTTGATTTCTGATCATTTACTAGATTACATGCCATTCTAAAAAACAAAGAGTTTGAGAAAAATCGTAAGTGTTGTTATAATTTTTAATTAATTACTTCACAATAAACTCCCATATAGAGAAGGATGGATGGTAAGAATGTATAGTTTGAGAGGTCATCACCGAAGACATTCGCCCAAATCAATACACATTCTTTAAATTCCCATTCAATACGCTAGAAGTTTGTTTGAATTATGATCATGATAACATGACTATTTAATATGGTCTCATTCGCCTGTCACAAGTGAAAGAGATGTGCTTTGATGTGACAGGGAGAAATATGCTGAGGGACAGACGAATTGAAATGACTTTTAGAAATGATTTATGATCAGGAAACTGTAGCATAACTACATCGAAGCTATTTTTAAAATTGCAGAGGAAATTTGCGATGTTCCAACCAATCTTTGTTCTATTCTAAAATCTAAATATTATTGAAATATGGCATCATTTAATTCCCATGCTATGTATAATGCGAAAATGATGAAATATTTCTGTAATAATGTGTGATACATTATTCTGATCGAAGTAAAACGTTTCTACGTAACTTCCGTTCTATCATGCTTAAGTCCCTCTTATGTATTTTAATGTTTCCTCAAAAATTTTCCCATATTTTTTTCCCGTTCATTCAACTACATCTATAAAATCGATACGTTAATATATCCAGAAAACCCCGCTGAACTAAAAAACTGTTTACATCAATTTATACTACTGGACGAACATTTTACTACAAATGCTACATGTAGGATCCTTCTTGTCGTTTAATAAAATAAAAACCAAAACAGGATGTCAAACGGAACAATCCATGTCTATGTTCTGTATTCTGCTATGATAGGAAAAAAATATTTGAACCTGGAAGATGCGTATCATCCTAAGATGTCGTTATTCTGTATTTCTTCACATCTGAAAAGCTTTTCAATGTAACTAGTTCATCTAAAATAACAATGAACAACTTTCAACGGGTAAACAATAGCCAGACTGCAGTGCATGAAAATTGAAGTATCCATCCGGAACTAAATATTGCTCCAGAAATGTGATCAATTTCATATTATCTTTTCATGCTGAGTTTCCTCTTTTTGTTGTAAGAGATTAATTATAAATTCATTCACCAAATACAGCAATGTACTAATATTTGTAGAAGTAGATATTTTCTCAGTTAGAAATGATCATACCCTTAGTTCGTTAAGAGCTATCAATACAACATTTGGTAACATTAAAACCAAGTTGATTTCAATAAAATAACTCACACAGTGAAGTTCCTATAATAACTTAGCAATAAAAAATATCATTCCCTTCCAAAAAAAAAATCAACTTCGGCAATGTTATCTAACTATAGATGACGCTCAATTAGACGACATTAATTACTCAACTAAACTACATAAAAACAATGAATTCAATTTAATTATGTGGTATAAAAGCTGAGCTGAATTGAGCTATATAAAAGCATTGAACTGAATTCTATAAAAACTACTAGGTGAAGAGACAATGATCTAATGATGAAAAAGATTTTTAATTCAAAAAAACCTCGAGAGAAACATTACTAAAATCATCTAGTGTAGCGCATTTCTACTTAATCAAAAAGTATGTATTAAAAAAGTGTTAAGAAATACAGTATGAATACTATGAATCAAACATCATTCTTAATATTTTGACAAAGAGATCGTATGAAATACAACACAGCCGACTGAAAAAGAGTAAGCTATATTTATTTGAATTAAAAAGATCATCATCAGATATTAGAAGAAATAAAGAATTGCATGAAAGCAATCGATAACACTGTTACATCTTTGATGTTCACATATAGAAGATTAAAACATATGAGATGAATTTGCTAAGGCTATATTAAGGATCCTATGAAAAGAAAACTGCTTTGCAGATATTTGAAAGCTTCAAATAGCTTCTTCAGACCATGCCATCATTATAGATTAATACAGATTATAGATTAGTATAGTACGCCCCAATCTTATTTCAAATAAGTGATGATCCTGAACTGCGAGCACCTTCATATTCTTTTTTAACATAGTCCACTAAACTTTGAGAGGATTCGACAAGCTGAAAAAAAAATTTTTACGTTTGCCTAAACATATATTAACCAATATGCTTCAAAATGGATGGCAAACAAGGTTACCAAACGTTTTTTTCATCAAAAAACATTTTTATTTGGAGAATAAAATCAATTTGTTATAATGAAATATTTTCATAGTCAATCTTATTAAAACTCATTTCGTGTTGGTGATAGTGAACAAACCAACGCACTAATTCACTCTTAAAATATGAATACGTTCTGTTTAATGAAATCGTATGCAGAGTGCTTGAAGTTTTCAAGATATTTCTTTCCAACATCACATGAATTGCGACCCGCCGCAGATTTGAGTGGAATTTATAAGTGATAGAATAACAAGTAAAATAGAATAGGCAAATCCATATATTCATATGTATGCAAAATTTGAACTACTGCAGCCACATACTTTTTCATATGTTTCATTTGCATGCGCTATCGTTCTTTCCAAACGTGAACAAATCTCCTCCTCTTTCCCTATTCTCGTATCTAACGCATTGAGTTTCATACGCAGTTCATCAATCTGAATAACATCGAAATCAATCAGAATGACATAACTTTCACTAGGCCGATTATAATTACTTTGGTTATTTAGCATCAAATTATAAAGATACTGCTATTCTGCAATATCTTTTCAGACCAAAACATACCCATTAAAAATAGCAAATTAATATACCTGTAATGAGATTAATTCTCGCTCTTTCTTCAAGTGTCCAATAATATCTTCACTTGCTTTCCTTTGCTCTCTTAAACCATCCAGATCTAAATTACAGGGATGAAATTGTAACAATTAAACTGTAAGTATACCATCTGTTCGTTGTAATATATCATTTTTTATAAAGAAAAGAAGTCCTTTTAAGAGAGATTCATGTGCTACGTAATGCGATAGAAAAGCATGAAAGGTATAATGTGACATACATCTCGATATATCCTCCAGCTGATATCCAATTCTTGCCGACATTTCCAATAAACTTTCCTTCGCAAGAAGTGTTTCTTCTTCGATTTCTGCAACTTACACTAAATTTCGCACTTTAGACCTCCACTATTACTACCTTATTACCCATTTCAGGAATGTTATCATTTCTCAGCGGATAATTTGAGCTGTTGTCAGGGAAACCATCCTAGAGGAGAGGATTTCATTCTCGCAGTGTATAATATTCAATATTTGTCATATTAATAATTGATTCCACACAACGATGTCGTTCCTACCTAAATACTAATTAATCAGATTTAAAAAATATTCAAATCTTACCCCAAAATTCCCGAAATACTCAACAGCAATCAAACAATCCGTATTAAAAATTGCTATTGAACGAAGGACGTGCCATCTTCGACCATCTAGAAAAGACTGCGACTCGGGCCAAAATTTTAGCAGGAAATACCAAAGCTCGTAAGTATTCAAATTCTGTGGGATCCAAAGATTGAGTGGAGTGGGGATAAGTGGTGATGTCATTTCATATATTTTTTTTGGCCAAAGTATACCATTTCTTCAATTACTTCGTTCAAGGGATTTCATTCGTTTAGACATCATTGTCTCTGAGGTGTAGAGGACAAAAAGTTCAAATAAAGAAGCACGCTATGTGCATTTTAAGAGATTTTTCCTGCCATTTTGCATTTCCATTTTTAAATCTCCATTATTTATATACTAAATCAGTTTATATTTTTCTTGAATTCATTATAAAAGTACCGTGCTGGTATACATAGAATAGTTTATCATTGATTCGTGCGGTTGATTTTTCCACCTGCTAACTTCACTTCTTTGTATATATGACTTTTTGATAGCATCCAGCTGAATTTGCTGATTGATCGAGTAAGTCTACATTTTCTGGTTTTCGTTGTATTCGTCTGCAATATGTGCAAAAATCATTTTATGTAATAATTGACCCAGTTCAATTATTTCTTAAAGTTTTCGAATAAGGTTGCTGCTGTACCAGGTAAATTTGCTCTCTTCTATTTTCCTCCCATACCTATTCTAATTATTGTTCACTTCAACGACCATTACCAAAAGAATCGGTTCGATTGACAAGTTGACATTCAAATGTTTGAAGTTTGAATATTTCGTAAGGAATCTGACCGAGAGCACAATGTTACAGAGAGAGAATCGGAAATATTCGTAACTCTTCATCTCCCTCTTTCTCTCCCTCTCTCTCTTTTTCTATTCATATATTGACTTTTCTGAATTTATCGGCTCTTCTTCCTTCATGTAACATCGACTTCATTTATTCACTTTGTGGTAAAAGTGACTACTATTGAGTGACATGCAATTTTGTCCACTGATGTTTTGTTTTCGAGACAGAATCCTCACAGTTCAGTGATTCGTCCCCGCATCTTTTTTTCAACTCTTTAATGCAGCAAGGAAACCATACGAAATTTTCAGTTTTGCTGCAGTTCGTTTTCATGGCACCCATTGCCTCCTCTTTTCCTTCCTCTTCCGCTTCACTACTTATGCATATCAATATTATTAGCAATCTAGCAGCATTTCGTAGTCACAGATGCATTGCATTGCTGATAGGACGAGGACGGATGTTTTTATTTTTTTTAAGCCACTTTAGCGATCAATACAGCAATGAGCTGATAAATTTTATAAACCGTGCAAATTCCTTATTCATCTGCCGCCTTCAATTTTTTACCTTCATAGAATTTATGCGCTTTTGTTTCTGTTCCACATTTCATCAGCTACAACTGTTGATTGACAGTTGGGAATTTAATTATTTTTCCAATCTATTATAAAATATACGAATAATATAAAATTCAAGTTCTGCTTTAAATAACTTAAAAGCATGTTTCGTATTTACTTTTTCGTAATCCCAGTGGCAACTCTATGCAGATCCCATTCTCTTCTTAACCAGCTTTATTTTATCTTTCTCTCATGCCTTTGGAAGTTTAAAATCAGAGTCCTCGTAGAGCGTTAACACAGATGTGCTAAATTTAAAGTAAACATGAAGAAAATGGATAGACGGATACCTTTTCTAAACTTTTAGCAATGGCAATTTGCATAATTTTAAACTCAATTTGTACCACTTTTTATATAAACTTTCGGTTTTTACGTTACACAATTGAGCATAATCAACTTCTTTAGTTTTATTCCAAATTTTCCAAAAATTATATTTTTCTAGACAATATCCGTAGCGGAGATAACAAACAATGCAAATATTGTGTTTTTTGTTAATTTTATTAATCTAAAAACTCACATCGGAAAAAAAAGCAAGTCATTCTGTTTGTCCAATAAATTGGTGTACACTAAATAATCCTCAGCATGATATGTCTGATAGTAGTTAAATTTTCAAAGGATATATTCCTATGGTATCAAGACATCCACCTCATCTTCACAGACGCTTTGATGGATATTGTTTTAAAAAAAGAAAGAAAAATGCAGGAACGTATAAGGAAAAGAGGGAGATGGATGGGATGGTTTAAGGAAATGTGGATATATCTGATTTCAAAATGCCTCGCATTAAAACCGAGAGATGGGATTGGTTGAAATGCTTCCTATTTGTTGATTGCATACTGGAATTTATGCTTAAAAGCATGGGAATTCTGTGCCTATTAAATGTTGTTTAGATATGTTTGAGAATAAGCGAAAGAATTCCTATTCTATTTTATTGAATAGCAGTGTTTAACGTATGATTACCGTTCCAATAATAGGAATAGCTAGGCATTAAAAAAATGTGCCAATTACTGATCAAGAATGAGCATATTGTTGATAATGATACGACTGCATTAATGGTAAGAATGATTTGTGGAACACTCTTATTAGTCTCTCATTAGTTTGATGTTGTCTTTGTTAACTTTTTTGATTTTCATTTCACTTTCGATTTGGTCGGTTACTTAATTTTCAACAGTTGATTCGGATGCGACGAGTTTTTTCGGAACTATTTAATGTTGATGAAAATAACATGATAATTATGGTTTTGATTGTCATTATTTATGGATTACACATCAGGAATTTAAACCGTATGGTCTATTATGCTGACTTGTCTGGTACACTTTGAGATATTTATCTCTCAATACAATAAATTGTTCGGCTTAAAATTTGAAATTAAGAACTGTGGAAGTTTTCAGCGATGAAAAGTTTCGCTCAGGCAACACAAGTCGTTTAGCAGAATGTCATCTGCATAATTGGTTCCGAAATGACATTTGAGAAAAATATCTGCTATTTATGACTCCAAAAGCTTTATATGATTTGAGAAAACGAAAATGCGGAAGATATAAACTTTCGAGGAAAAATTGCATCCTACATTCCCGGGGACGGAAATTGAGAGAGCTCAAACCAAGTAAATGTGCGCTAAGAAAGAGTATTATGTCCTCCAGCTCATATAAGCCTTCTCTTTGCTGTTTTCAACCATCCGTCCAACATATCCGAAAAATTATTATTAATGCAGGATTTGGGAGAAAAAGTGCATTTCTTTGTGAGGAGCTCCGAACGCGAACAGATATTTATATTTTTTACGGTCGATTATAAACTTTGATTTGCTGTGTGGTGATTTGGTCTTGCAAGTTTCTGAGCAGAACTGCAAGCAGATTTCATGAACACTTGTCCCCAATCAATATATTCATCAAAAACACGACCTGATTGCCACTGTGATGCGTTTCAATTCAAGATAACTCTGTCTTATCTTCTTGCACTATAATCCGATGACTAATATGATGTTCTCAGTTTGTTTTATTCGCAAAATCCCCATTCATCCAGCCTGAACACCAACAGAGCAGCATGTAATTTTTCGTACTTGGTCGTTAATTTAATTTCGAGCAGCTTTTTGCATGTGCTCTTTTTTGTTAGTGACAGCATAATGCAAGATGTATCAGTGGATGCGTCCAGGCTTGTGAAAAACCACGAAAGAACGGAAAATAAAAACAGGCTAGTTTGAAGTGCTCTCATCCAACTCTTCAGAAGTTATTAGGCATACAGATGAGAGCACTTCAAAAAGCGTTAGAATGATGGATCTACAACTGGAACCAGAAATTTCCACCACCTTCGATGTCAATCGTTCATAAGATGACCTTGGCCAACCCCCGCTCTATGCTTCACAAATTTAGCCTTTCACATAGTTCATCTCTTGAAGTTCAGTTCCAGAAAACTGTATTGAATAAGTGTGGAGCCGCTACACTCACATTCTAAAGGAAGCATGAATGATATTTTCTTTGCATCTGTGATCTTTTTTTCGTGAATTTTCCCAAATATAATTAGAAAACTTTTCTAATTAACGTCTGTTGATGTCGATGATGGTGGTCTACGGAATCACTCATTGCCAGTACCGTTTTATGTATTTCTTCCTATCAAGCGCTTCCTCACCGCTTAATGCCAAGGAAGCGGAAATGTCCTCACCGGATGGCTAACCACTATGTGACTTCCACGTAGCCCCGAACTATCAAAAGTGTGTGAATAGTGTGTCCTCTCTTTGTCTGCTCATTCATTCTCTATCACACTTTCTTTTCGTCTCTGCATGGCAGAGATTGGAGGGAAGAGTTGTTTCCATGGCAGCAGCGCACTACGCGACGCGATGCTCACTTCATTCATCCATTTCGAAGATGGCTGTCGGTAATCCTCTCTTTCATTCTTCCATCAATCTTTCGATCTCACTCCTATGGCCCTTTAATGAAATATTTTTTTCGGCTTGAATTATTTTTTCCCTATTTCTCTTCCATCTCCATTATGCATTACAACACATCTTTACTCCTCTGCCAACCGGCTACTTTTCCTCTACTCTCTGTTCCATCGTCTCTTTGTATTGTATGTGACAGCAGTGATACCGAACTATATGGATATTGTCTTTCTTGAAAGGTTTTTTTCCTCGACTTCTTCGCCCACATATTTCCCTTTAGTCTTTTCTATTTCCATTGCTTCTTTTTCTGCCATCACTTATCAGTCTGGAAAAATCTGATTGACACAACCAATGGGACCATCCCCTTGTCAGACAATGGATCTTCTCTTCTTTCCCTCTTCTCTCTCTTGTTTTGTCTAATCCCTCTCAAGCATCCATCCCCCTTCATCTCTCTCCTACTCTCCACTCTATTGCTCAATCGTCGCATCCGCTTATACGCATGTTACGTGATGTGATGCGTGTATGCTAATTTGCGCGTTTGCCTTGGTATTTACAAATTAGTTCACTACTGCTTTTTTCTCACGGATATTGCTGTAACTTGTCCCCCCGAATGAGTGAGAAAAAGGATGACTATGTGCTGTTACTGCTTGGCCTTTTTTGTTAGGTACGCAATTTTTAGGCAGCGCTTATGTCATGGCACTCATATTGTTCACAACTTTTATTAAACGAACGTTCGGGGTTTTGTAACAAGGGAGAATTTCAGTGTACTGAACCTGATTTTAAAAATTAAGACTTTAATTTTATGGAGCGTATAGTGCGTGATGAATTGAAAGTGTATAATTTGTGCTAGGGTCTGAAAAGGGTATTAAAAATTTTTGCTTAGTTGTTAGAAGGCAAGAATTTGTGTTCATTAGAAGAAAAGCGAATGATATGCAGTAAAGGAAGCTTGTTCATTTGCTGCATGTCATTTGTACACTTTTTTAGACAACCCCTCGTAAAATCCATGAACCATTACCGGGAATTTCAAATACTAGGAAAATAAAGTGAAATTTATTGTGAAACATAACTGACCTGTTTTGAAGATGAAGTTTGGTACGTAACTGAATCATTCATCTTTAGCTAGCTGTAGTGGACATAATATAATACTGTTTTCAATTCCGTAAAAATATTAAAACTTCTTTTAATACTCTGAAATAATGGAAGACTCAAATTTTCATTCTCTAGTCCACACTTCAAGGGAAAGTAGTTATTTGAACTCGGCATATTTGTCTTCGATGTTGTTTTTTGAATAATTTTTTGTCTTATTGAAGACTGGCAGTTGTGTTTCAAAATTTGGCTGAATTGTTGAGAATCAGAACATCTAATGATTGGCAGTAATTGTTATTAGCACTTCACTGTTTCTCTGCACTTTTGTTTTCATCTGTATTGGTTGTGATAATTTAACAATAAATTTTTTAGCTCCACTTTCTTATTTTATAGTAGTGGGAAGGAAAGCTTATGTCATTAGTCGCGATCCACTTGTGTTTGATACATTTAATGGATTTCCTGAAATGTCCTTTAATAATATAGACATCAGTCGTTTACATTCGTTTGTCTTGCAGAGCTCAACAACTGGGGAAAGCAGTTGGTGTGAAGTACTCCGCTGGAAAAAACACTTGTTTTTTATTAATAGATTCCGCTTCATATTCACATCACTTTATTGCATTTTAAGCTCTTTACGTTTGTTTCTACCTGTTTAGCTTTATCCATGAAGGCTTATTTACAAAAGTTCCTTTATAACTTAAAGCTATTTTATTGGGTGACAAAACTTTCTCAAGCAATTCATAATCATATGCAAGTTGTGAGATTAGTTAGCATCGTCGTAGTATGGCAAAACATGCATTTTATGTATACTTTGGAGGAGTATTCCAAGCTCTTTTTAATTGTGCAATCATCTAGACTGAAGTAACTGAAAGTTCGAATTCTGATGATTACTAAGATTTGTTTATGATAAGTTTCGAAATAATCTGTACTAGTCAATTCGATTTATCATAACAGGTCATATACATTTGGCCGGATCAGACTACATTAAAGATAACTTGAATGCTACAAATGGTTCTTTTTCATGGTTAATAGCTTCATCTTAACATGTTTTAGAGTGATGAAGTTTCGTTGCTTGATTTCAGTGTAAAATCTGCGAAACGTGGAATAAGAAGCATTTCGTGAATGATTTTATGAGGACCGCAATTGAGCACACACCTCACAAAAAGTGAAGCTGCTCTGTGATGTCTCATTATTTTCAGTATTTATTTGTCACTAATAGTAGGGCTTTTTGATTCGTGATGTATTTCATGATCATAATCTAATATTCAACATAAGCAAATTAGTGATGACAGATATTGAAATAATTTACATTTAGATTTTCTATAGTTAAAACAGTTTCAGTTTGAAAATTGAAGTAGGACTTCAAGTTTCTCGAATAGCTTACTTCAGTTTTCTCGAATGAAACGTAATATTTCACAAAGCAATCATCGATAAATGTAATTGAGTATGAAAGGAGTATGTGTTTATTGTCTCACTGCCTTATTCTTTGGCATGTTTTGTCACTGCTATGGGACATTGTCTGTGTTTCATATGACTGAGACATCTATGCGTTCAGCGCTTGTTGACATAACGCTCGATCACCTGATAACAAACCTTTCACTACTACATTTAGCCAACACTCAGTATTCATGGTAGCGTTATACAACTCAACATATCATTTTTTATTCATCTTTTCTTTTTTCAGAATAAATTGATTTTGGATATAATTTACTTCCATTGCTACACTTCACCCTGCATTTTGATAACTGTTATCCAAAGTTTTTTCTCCAAAGAAGAAAAATTAATCTTTATGTTTTTTGTTAGTCTCAAGATTTGTAAACTTTTTCAAAATTTTTTTAGAATAATAGTTAAAGTTATAAAGGAAAATTAATTTGCGAAGTCCAAGAAAAATTCACTTTTCATTACTTGATGCACTTCAATAAATTGAGAATGTAGTATTTGAAAATTATGTATTTAAAAATAGTAGATCTTTTCAAATATTGAGATAAACATAAATGTTTCAGAGTCAGTAAAAATTAAATTATAGGTCCAGAAATCGGAAAAATTCCAAGAAAAAAAATTGTTTTTTCAAACACTTTAGATTTTCCAATACTACTCATTTAATGATGAGAAAAGGGTCTATAGCTTAGATTTTTTTATGTATTGATAAATAGCGTTTCATGACTTCTCATCCACATTTTGATTCGTGTCACTTATACCAATTGGTATGTGAGCTGTATATTGTCATCTGTGTTTGCTAATTTGATATGAAGACAGTGAAAATACACAAATTTTCAGTGAACTATTATTGTAAAATTATCATGCTGAGACTAATCCCAAAGTTTTTTTGGGTCACATTTTTTGACATATAGTTCATACTCTTGCAATTCCTTTAAATATAAACAGCTGTAATTCTGTTTTTTTTTTAAATTGATTGCTCAATGTAGTGTTACCAATGCATTGTGTCAGTTTGATATTTATCTTCTTATTGCCTAATTCATTTGCAAAGGTTACATTTTCGCATTTGGTTCGCCCAAAAATTTCTCAGGTTCAAAAATTTTATTTCTTAGCGATTGAATCATTAAGAAATTTTGATTGGAGTCATTCAACTGCTCAATTATTGTTTCTGCTAACTGTCCGCATAGGCATCACCACGTTATTAGCATATTAATTATTGATAATGTTGCTGTGAGAAATTTCAGTTTCTACGTGGAAAATTGTCTTGTCGAATCAAGTGTTTACAGACGGTATCGAGGAAGCTGCTGTGGTGTGCTTCACTGAAACAGGAGCGTCTGCGTTCGTTAAGCAAAATTATTGATACTGGTGATTTTACGTGGTTTTTCCACCAATTAATTTAGTTGCTTTTTCTCACGGACTTGATCTCGTTCGCATCTTTCTGGTGCATTTTACGCTTTCTGGTCCTTGATTCTTTGATTACTTCCACGAACTAATGGCCGACCAGCTCACCGAGGAGCAAATTGCAGGTAAGCTTCTAATTAACTTAAATTTAAACGTTGGCACTTTTTCAATAATATTGGAGCTTTTTAATGAAATCGTTTATATTTAGGCTAAGTATTTGGTATTTGAGTGAAAGTGATAGTAATGGCGATATTCATAAAATGCTTTCATTTCTTATTTTGGACCGTATCTGTGTTAGGCCCAAAAACTTAATTTATAGAAAGTTGCATATGTCCTGAGTCTTGCGTTTATATTTTAGGATTTTTGCTGTTAATATATAGTGCTATTCATCCTGTTTTGCTTACAAGATCTAAGGTATTTACTTCATTAGTTCAAGGACGGTCTATTGTATTCGCTTACAAACACTAACAGTAGTCATAAACTATCTGAATTGTCATCGAATAATTTGAAGGAAAGAAGTGTAACTACTTGCAGCCGTTGTGCGACTACTGTGTTTATAAGATGCAGCAAATTTTTAGATACAAATGTCATTATGTTTTAAAACTGAAGTAGTGTTACTTCAGTTTTAAAGCATAATATTTTTCTCATTCCGGATTGTGCCAAATAGCTATAGGAATTATCTCATGTCTTAATATCTCAACGCACATCAGAGGTAGTAGCTCTAAATGTAACGTTGCTTTGTCGCTTTGAAATTGTTGTTACTGTACTGTCTGGCATATTGTAGTTTCCGCTGAAAACGGTAATTATTGAATTTTGCTACAGGGATTCTACTTTTTTTATTTGTTAGAAATTCAAAGATTTCAGTTATTATTGATATTTGTGTTAAAAATCCAAAGATTTTAGATCTACTACTCCATGAACATAACGTAGTGTTTGATATATATTAAAATCTCTCTTAACTATATATTATATATTATTCTGTGTTGATTATGCAAAATTATGATGAAATTTTATGAAGATGTAAGAGGAAAGAAATGGATTGCTGAATTGGAATGAAGGGAGTTGAAATTTGGTATAAAATGAGCTGAATTAGACCTTATTCTATAAATTATGTAAGTTATATTAGAATATATTATATATTAGATAGATATATATCTATAAATCATATTAGAATATTAGTTGAAAAGTAAACGTATTCATTTGGAAATACAAATGAACCATTTACTAAAGAAAACAGCTCAAATAGCAGGAATGAAAATGCTTAGATGATTGTAGATAGACAAAGCTTCGAAGAGACTAAAATAAGCCAGTATAGCGAGCCATTTGTGTTGAAGTCCATCCCATCTTTATTTGTTATTTTGCTTCCTTCTTTACATGTTTACAGAGAACAACTTACTGCATTAGACAGGAATTTAAAGCATATATATAATTTTGGATTTTGAAATTCTTTGAGACATTAGCTGTCTGGTCGAATTTCTGAAATTTTCATTGTGAAATTCAAAGTCTACCACATTTAAACAAATCGAACTCTTCAGTGAAATAACATGCATTAAGACATTCAGTGCCAAGAACGATTCTGGCAAAATAGTGTTCTCTAAAATATAAACAAAAACTGTTTGTGGACAGTATTTGATTATAAGAATAAATGTCTTGTTTAGAAATCTAATTCAGATTTAAATCGGGCTCGTACGGGCTTTTGTAAAACAGAATAAATTAATGCACATGTATAAATTGAGTTCAGGATTTAAGTGACAAGATATGATTTGATTTCTTTAACCACAAAAAGTATAATTTAATGAAGTCGTTAATTTTAGTAACAATTTTTAAACCTGTTTAAGCATAAAATAGTTATTTTCCAAAAAATGAAATGCCTAATTTTTGAATCTTTGGAACAAATCGATGCATGTGTACGCTGGTTGGCTTAAACAAACTTCTACAATCTACTGAGAAGGAGATTTATTTAGTTGAAAGCAATGTTTCTTTAGTATCTCTACAATTGACTTTGTTTCGAACACACAGTATTTGTGAAGGTATCAGCACAACAAGAAAAACGCGAAGAGAGTTTTTGAGAGTTTTTATCTCCTTACTTCTGTTCTACTTTGCTTCCATTTCTTAGGTTTATTTGGAAATATTTATATTTTTTTGCTGGTCGTAAACTGTATTCTAGATTGTTACCTCCTAATTTTCAGACCCGTTTCTTTATTGGGCCTTTCTTTCTGTAATTCTTTCCAATTTTTTTCTTTGATGTAAGGATATAAAATTTCTAGATTTAAAGACAGTGTTTGAAATGCATAGACTAACTTTGACTTCATGGCAGTTTAAGAAATTTCAAGCTTGTTATTCATCTCAGTTACTGTTTGTCTTTTTTATCCAAAGTGATGAGTAAAACACATGCCTTAAAAAATACTCTACATAAAATATTCTCATGCCCAATATTTTTTTTAAGAATTCAAAGAGGCATTTTCGTTGTTTGATAAAGATGGCGATGGCACAATTACAACAAAAGAATTGGGTACGGTTATGCGATCTCTAGGCCAGAACCCCACTGAAGCCGAATTACAGGATATGATCAATGAAGTTGATGCTGATGGTTAGTTAAAATAATGTAAACTTTTATTTTTTTAAAAATTTGTGTTTTGTTATTCTGGCGATCGAAATGTCATCACTTATTCTCTTTTTTGGTTCAATGCACAGGTAATGGAACGATTGATTTCCCGGAATTCCTCACCATGATGGCACGGAAAATGAAGGATACAGATAGCGAAGAAGAGATTCGTGAAGCCTTCCGAGTATGTTCTTAATGTTTCTTATCGCTTTAACGAATAGTCTTAGTTACATATAATCTAATGAAGGACTAAGTTCAACAAAACATTTACATAGCAGACTTTGTTAATAAGATCTTTTTGTGAAATGTCGTACCGTTTAACGCGATCTGTAATGACGCCGCAGTTCTTCTTATACTGATTTCATATGGATTTTAAAGTCGATTTTGCTTTAATCATCAGACTCATTTCCTGTGCTATATTCAGATATATATTCACATACTTGAATCCAGGCTTTCTTATTTATATAGAACATAAATTTTCACTAGTTTTTTTGCAGGTATTCGACAAGGATGGTAACGGTTTCATATCTGCAGCCGAACTGCGTCACGTTATGACCAATCTTGGCGAAAAACTGACCGATGAAGAGGTGGATGAAATGATTAGGGAAGCTGATATTGATGGGGATGGTCAGGTCAATTACGAAGGTGAACAGTGTTATTGAGATTTCATACATTTTAGAATTATCTTTGATATGTGTTTATTATATAGAGATTAGCAGGATGTTAATATAGATGTGGGCTGAAAAATCCGTGCTTAAAAATTGCCATATGTTTTGCCAACATCTTGACAAGTGTATTGAAGTATATAGTGTCCACTGCTCATGTAAATAATGTACACAGTAAAATTTATGATAAAAAGGCAATGGTAATGAAGTTTTTTATTTCTAAAAGTAATATCCCAAAATATTTTGTGAATGTGTCGCAGTTTTCGTTTTTCTCTATTTTTTTTTAGAAAAGCAAAATGAAAATGACCAGGAATTTAAACAGTGGATAAAGTGAGCTCACTGTTTGCTTGCTTGCTGTGCTTTTTTGCTTTTCTGGTCTGTAAAAATGAATTTCATGTAATCTGTAACTTTTTTTTTCAGAGTTTGTGACGATGATGACGACTAAATAAATTTGCATAATAGTAACGACAGGCAGAGTTGTGAGATCGACCAATATCGTATCTATCCATTCATCAGCAAAATAGCACAAGTTTTTTATTTACTGTCATAGAAAATCGTTCGCGTCATATTTATATTTTTAAAAAATTCATGAAAGCCTACATACTGTGAAATTACTTTATCATCATTATTATTATGCAGAATCATGTTTTTACATTTTTACCTGTCTGTCTTCAAGGACATGAAATTTCGTAATCTTGCTTTTTTGTGTTCACACAAGTTCGTTGTTTCTTCAAGATACGATTTGAAGAATTAAATGCAAAGCTTGCGAAATTAGCTTTCCAACTCTGTGAATTTTACTGGCTCTTTAAGACTGTTTTATCCATGACTTCTAGTAAATGTCCAGTTTTTTTGAGTGGAAGTTTTCAATTTTTCTAATGTAATTTCTCGATTTGTTATAAATACCTCCTCATGGTGGGATTGACATAACTTTTATATTTTGGAAAGCAAACTCATGCATTCCCAGTAGTGCACGAATTAATATTTCCTGTCGTTTCCAAGAATACTTTTTATTTATTTTTCTCAATTTCCATGTTTTCTTTATATATTTGGACATCAATTTTTGCTTCTTGATAAAATGTGTTCGTTCTAAATATATTTTTTTCTGAGTGTTTATGAAAGAAATTTGACAGAAGACGATAACGTGGTGCAACAAACTGTGTTTTAAAAGCTCTGTCGTGGATGTTAAGAATAACTTTTGATGAATGATGATGACAAATAAATGTCAGAACACACCTTAATCCTCCGAGAATTCGTGATATATTTTACTAAAATATTTCTTGAGACTATGGAGGAAATTGAAATCTTCTAAAAAACATTTTAGTCTTTTAAAGATTGTTTGGAGTCTAAGATGTTTTGCTGTGGTCATCGACCAGTCGATGAGTTTCCACTCCATTCACTTTAATCGATTTTGGATTAAAGTCGGGGCAGTCGATTTTGACATTGATTCGCCTCGATTCCTTTGGACTCTTGATGAGCACTTTCAATTCCAGTACGACACCATCCAAGCTTTCAAAGTTGTTTACATGCACCTGAGAAGAATTGAGTTTGTTCAATTTATCTGTGCGAGATTCAAACTCTGATGTTAATCTCGTTTCTTTAAGAGCAATCGAAGGAGGGATGGACTAACTAATCCCCTAGTCTCCTCCTTGAATCTCCCATGATTTAAATTTTTTAACAGTTTTGAATAGTTTTTAAACAGTTTGGTTGGAAAGATTCAGTTGCGTCTTATCCTGATAATGCTAGTCTATGTCAATCCCCCTCCTTATATTGTTATAACCCCTTTAATTCTTATGGGAAGCGGCTATAGTTTTTCATTGCTAAATCTTTCCATCCGTGCTGAAAGTTCTGTCCTTTAGGAAATCCCAGAATCATTATCAAATCTTAATCTACTTTAATGCTGCAACTATTGATACTTACAACGCCCGGTATAACAATGGTGCCATCGGGCTTCATCGCTGGTACCAGTTGGTCTCCTCTATTTTGCATAAAATTATTTTCAGTCAGTGATTCGGTTTCGTCTGATAACGATTCATCAATATTTGAGCTTTTAAGATCTGTTGTTTCACTACTGATCAGTGTTTCAGGTGATTCAGTTATCGATGTTGTATTTATCTGTGATGTTGTATCTCTGAAAAATGTTTATTGTTGTTATTCATGGTTGCCACTATATCCGAATGAACAGTTTAATAATGAGTTAAGGAAGCATTAAATAAATCTATTCCTACTTCATACTTATTCTCAAGCAAGAAATAATTGACTAATTGACTAAAATAACAAACCTTAAAAGTTCATCTTTTCCACTCTTTCTTTTTCTCACTCTCATCCTATCTCTATATTGTTCTTTGGAGGCTAGAAAAAAGTTTAAAAAAATTCTGTGGAGAAAATGAATGCAAACAAATAAGTTACGTGGTAACTTGCTCAAAATTCCCTCCCATACGAAGTTGCCGTTGTGTCTTCACATCCTTATCACTATCAGTACCAGCTAGTGTAGAATGTAACTCAGATAAATTTATTTCTCGTTTGCATTGGTGTATTTTACAATGATTTGGTCTGAAAATTATTTTAATTTTCCTTTAAAGCTATCAGTCAAGCAATTTATTTTACTCTTTATTATTTCGATTATTATTTTTAAATGTTACATTTCTTCTATCATTATTAATGATTTTTCTAATCGGATAATATAAATGCTAAACGAATAAAAAATCAAAAATAAACCGATATGATCAATCTTCAATCGAGTGATTTCTCACCTCTCCCTCTTATAGTTCCAAACTTTAATTTCAATTCGAAGAGAAAAAAGAAACAATATTTGTAAACTTTAAACAATTTTCATCTTGTATTTAACATTCTACCTGTGAGACTGAAGGATGCCTTCAGTGGTCAGTACACTATCATCTTTTGAAATATGTTGCATTCCACTATCAGTGGAACATTCCAGCGAACCTCCGCCAGCCATATGTCTACTCAATTTCGATCCACTTAGCCTAGATTTAGAAATTTTAATGCAAATTTTAAATTATATCTTATAAAAGATAAGTAATTCATACTGCTATAATTACCATTTGGCTTCATTATTTACAATAAAGCGTTTCAGTTCTTTTCGATTTAACTCAATAGTGCCACCGTCTGAGGGCCAAATTTCCCGTGCAATCTAGAAAGAATTTCAACTTGTACATTTAAAATCCAAAAAATTGATTTGAATATTTGAAAATAAAATTTATGAGAATTTATTATAAAAATATCAGAAAATTTTGATAATTTCATCACCAAATTACGTCCATCGCATTTGAAAAATCGATCACAACACAGATATCGCACTCCCGGCCTTTCATTCAATACTAATGGTGATGAAATTTCAGAATTTCTTATTACACGGCGTTGTTGTCCTAAAAATAAATGGAAATATTGAGCACGAAGATATAAAAAATCAGCGTTTTAGAAAAGAGTTTCTTCCCTTCTATTTTTTCCACATCGATATGTCGATCAGATTGTTTTCTCGAATCTTTCATTTGATCTGAATCCTGCACGGATGTTATTATTTTGATTCCATGTTGAGGGAGTTGTTTCAATGCCTGTGGAAAAGATATGTATTTTAAAAATTTGCCTTGTTGATAAAAAAACATCTTCCATTATCTTCCTTTGTTTTACTTTTTTTGCTGTTGGCAAATTACGTCTTTTGATAAATTATAATTACCATTTCAGCTTTATTGATAACATCGAAAAGCAACCGCTCCACTCGAGCTGTTACTTCCGAAGGGTCACGTAGTGTACCAACGCGAGATTCACTTGAACTCTCCAGCTCTGCTACTTTTACAACCTCACTCTAAGTTTAGTATAATCAGCAGTGCAACTTCAGTCTTTTCAATTTCACTTATCTACAGATGAAAATTTTAACTTGGAATTAATATTGCTTAACAATATGTTCTGTGAACTAATAATGAAATTGCTGTTAAAATTCTTGAATTGTAATTGCAACAATATTGCATATTTTAGAAAGCATGCAAATTTTTTTTGGATCTTAAAAGACCGAGTGGTATTAATATTTGGTCATTTTTTACAATTATTTTATTTCAGAGGAGTGACATAAATAAAATGGAATGTGAGGAAGTGTTAAATGTTGGGGAAAATTATCAAAGTGAATATTGTCTTGAAAATTCTCATCTTAGAGTTTCAATAAAATTTATTCATCGCTTAAATCTAATTCAAATTTCAAATAGTCTCTGTAATCCCTTTGAAGTTTCATGCAAATAATATGAAGGCCAGAAAACTCATTTATTTATTCAGTCAAAGCTAATTCGATGTTTCACATGGAGGAGATTGAAATCGTTATGTATTCATGATGAACTGAGGTAATGAATGGATGAACAGGTGTTACTAAATGTAATCAAATAGTGAATTAAGAATCAATAACACAAAGGATTGAAATTGGATCGATGAAAACATCAATGACAAAAGACAAATGGTCCAATTCATGCATATCAAACGCAATCTCAAAATATTTTGATGAATCCGAAAAAGTTAGAAAAAAATTCTCACTTTCTCGGAATTTAATCTGAAATTTGTAACAAACCTAATTCTCTTCTAAAAGAATGTCACCGTAACATTGAAATACACTGAGCTATCATCCCATACAGTACACACTTTTATTGCTAATGATTCAACATCGGTTCATAACGCCATCTATTAAATCAGAGTTGATCTCGTTAATCCAAAATGATCAATTCAATTTCTAGCCTATTAGAATATTTTTTTAGCTTACTAAAATTTTCTAATTTTTTTTTTCATATTTCGAAAAAAGCTTACAATTTTCAATATTTAATAGAATTAAAATCTGTATAAGTGTATCTGAAGGTCGGGGTTTTGTTTATAACTCGTTGTTTTAAATAAACTTAAAATGCATCAATTAAGGTAGAATAAAATTCACTTATTTCTCTTTTTAATTTATTACACAAATTCACTTACATAACCAATCAATTTTTAATTATTAGATATAAATTTTTCCTTTTTAAAAATTCTCTAATTTATATAATAAAGAAAATGAAGAAATATAACATGAAATAGGTAGTATAAGCATAAATTTTAATAAAATATTTAATTATATGCTTTTCACAGAAAGAAAAATCATACAAACAAATGAGTAATACAATAACAGTACTTGGAAGAACTATCATGAGTGACGTTGCTGTATTGGCAATTGATGAATTCGTAAAAGGATCGTGTACCGTTGGTAACAATAATTGCTATCTTTTTCATTAAATGATTTACTCTATTTTCAACAACTAATTTTGTATTATAACGATCATTTCATTTCATTCGAATTTTTTTTGAGAAATTATTTATTAAGTCCATTTCAAGATAATTTTATTCAGGCGTAGAAGGTTTACGACAGGAATTTGTAAATTTAAAAGACTATACTCCATCATGTTTTCAATACAATCATTGCGCAACTAATATGAGCAAAAATCGCTATAAGGATGTTGTATGTTTGGATTCGACTCGAGTGGTACTAACCTTAAATGTACCACCGGAATCTGATTATATCCATGCTAATTGGGTCAAATTATGGGGTGTTAATCGTATTTTCATAGCCACTCAGGTCAGTTCCTCCATAACCTTTCATTCCGATTTTGTATTTCGCTTAAGAAGTAAATCTCATTTAAATATCTCTACATTTTTACACATTGAAGAATTTAAATTAAATTTAAGAAAATTACAGTTATATCCTCTCTTTTATTTGCAGGATCCACTTGAGTGCACAATAAGTGATTTTTGGCGTATGATATATGAGGAAGAAGTGAGGACAATATTAATGCTATCGAAGACGATTAACAGTAACAGTAGCAAAGTAAAATGTGCTCAGTATTGGCCTAAACAAAGTGGCGATCGGACAAAGCACGGCTCTTTATTCATCAGTAATACAAAGGTTTTAAAAGTTTCCGCTAATTTTTTCATTTAGGATTGGGATGGTGAAAGAAGAGAATATCGACAGAATAAGGAATAGCAATTGGAAAAGATTAGACGAAGAAGAAATCTTGCATTTTACTTGACTTCATTTTATGCTTTTTTTATAAATTTGATTTATATCAGGTAGAAAAGGATGACAAATTTATAAAGAATACGATAGAAGTGCTTCCGGAAAACTGCTCAGACCCCATAAAATTGCAATTAATTCAATTAATGGACTGGCCGGATTACGGTATACCACAAAATGGCATAAGCATATTACAAATGCTGAAGCTTATTCATCCTGTTTGTTGAAACTATAATTTTTTGAGAAAAATATCTTAATCTGTTGTTTTTGTTTTTTTATTTTAATTTTTCACAGAATTATTTACAAATTAAACAGGATGGACCATGTGTGGTACATTGTTCTGCGGGAATCGAAGGGACAGGAACTGTAATTTCCATAGAAACATGCGTGCAGCGTCTTTGGAAAGGTTATCGTTTAAATGTAAGCATCTTTTCACTTCAATATTTATCACATTAACAGATTTACCGAGTGCAGTACAATGATACAATTATATATAAATTTCTCAAGGCAATTTACATTAGATTAAATTATTACTAGTGGTTTGGATGCTATTATTTCTTTAACTTCGACATTTATAACATCGACTTTATAAAATTCAATGATAGCTCAAAGATCATTCTTAATTTCAGATACCCGAAGTATTAAAAGAACTAAGAGAATGTCGTGCATCGAGCATTCAAACAGAGGGACAATATATTCTTGTGTATCTTACTGTTCTGTATTATATCAGTGTACGTCATAACTTTTCAGTTTTTCATTTTTCAGTCAATGAAATGAAGTAAAAAAAATTATTGAAAAAGTGGGTGGAATTTGCGTTCTATAAAAATAAAACGATAGGAGAAATTAACACAATGAAATTTTTTAGCTGAATGAAAGAAATTTTAAAAAATTTTTGACTTGCATGGATCCCAGCAATAGCTTATTTTTTTGCAGGCCAAATTGCCAAAACATCGTGAAGCGGTATTGAAATTTCATGATGCTTTCAAAGCAGCAAGTCTTTTATGAATAATACCATGTTTGCACTTTCAAAGTTAACATGCACAAAAATAAATGTGATTATCAATCATAGTTGAGCCAATAAACCAATTTTAATTTTCCGCATTTCAATATTTGGTTTAAAAAAACTAATGCACCATAAAGAGAATTTTAATTGGAAAATCGAGAAATCTATGAATTAAAAAAAATGAAAGACGAAAAATAAAATTTGTATCTTAAAAATATTTTTAGATACAAATTTTAAGAAATGATCAAGCTAAAACTTGCGAATCCATGATGATGCCAAGCTCCCTAAACGAATCTACATGAGGTTTCTGAATGAAACTCCTTGAAATATTTGAAACCAGTGAATTATCAGCATCTGTTAAGAATGTTAAGCATCGGAATGATTGATGGAAATCGGTTTATGTTAAGATGAATGAATCATACAGAAGATGATGTGGAAATCATTGCTTTTCTCTTGCTTTCATTTTCATTAAAGCTGTTGCTTTTATTTCTTTGATGCGATCCTTCGCATCCTAAATACAAAATAATACTGAGAAAGAAATCATAAAATCATTTTTGATTTTAATCATTCCAAAAAAAAAACCTCGCTATTAGCCTAAATGTGAAGTAGTAGTTTAAGCAAAAACTTTTCCGGCTTTGATTTCAACTATGAATTGTATGAAAATCATTAAACTGAATCCATAAGTGAAAATGTTAACTGAATTATTAAACGATAAATGACGATAAAATGGCATAATAATGCAAACAAACTTCATAAGCACTCCAACCGCCCAACGATGCAATACGGAAAGCGAGTGCAAAAAGGACAAAAAACGAGATTGGATCGGAAAATGCACCCGGACGAATGCGCACCAAATGTCTCGCCAAATATTCTACGTCAAAGCATTCACGACGTTCAATTTGCTTCATCAATATGGTTGCTACCCAAACAACACACGTCCTGAGAATATAATTTACTGTGTTGCATAAACGCGCAACAAAAAATAAACAATACAAAAATAAAGACAGAAATTGGATAAATATGTACCATACGTATTTTGACTTTTCATCATTCTTTTCTTCCTTCTGAGGGCAATCAGCAGAAGCAGTGTATTTTTATTTGGATGAAGCAAATATCGTAAATTATGCTAGCGGTACCTGTTTAAGCCGGCAAAACCTTGAAGCACAACTGGCGGAATGTAATCATCGGCTGCTCGTTTAATAATTTGTACCTCCTTGCTTGCAAGCGTTTTAATGAATGATCCTAATTGATCCAAATCTGGCCAGATACCATTTGACCAATTAGTAATATGAAATATTGTTATCTAAATTAGAAAAAGGCCCGTAAATATTTATTTAGTTTATAGAGTGTTACAAAATCCAGTCACGCAGTTGGTTGCAGTGGTACCAAGATTATACTGTAATATTTTAACAAATTTGGAATTATGAATATTGAGGAATCCAGTTTTGTTTCATAACATGTCTAATTTTGTGCGCAAATTAAATCAAGAACTGGCATCAACCATATCCTATTTTACTAGGTTTCTAAATGTATTATTTTACTTCAGTTAAGTAATTGGTCATTTATGATTATTTCTAGATACGTAAAATACTGAGAAGTTAATAGTAGCATTTGGTTGGAAAAGATTGCTAACATGTCTTGGATTGCTATCATCATCGCCCATGCCAATGTCCATTGAGCCATCTGCTTTTGGAGCAACTTTTCCAGCATTGACATCAGTATCCAAATGCGCTGAGAGTGCAAGATCATACATTATAAAACCTTTTTCATCTTTCTTTTTAACTAACTTTATTGTGAATCGATTTAGCTGTAAATGAATAATTCAGAAATGAAATCGTCGAATTTGTTATTCACATTAATTAAAGATGAAAGATTTTGAAATAAGAAAGTTTGATTGAAATTAAAATTAAGATAATTAGGAAAGGATGAAAAATTAATTCGAGATTTTTTATTAAAAAATTTCTTGTTTGAAGTGTTGTTTTTCCTTCTTAATTTTCTTCCTTTCCCATTTCTCCTTACTTTTTATTACTAACCTTACGATTTCTTTTTTTCTTTAACATTATCATCAGGATAAACGATAGGTGGCCATAAAATAGAATATAGCAAATTTTGAATTTATTGAATAAGGATTATAAACAAACACGTTAATGCAGCAATCATTAACTTACACCGATTTCCATTTTTGTATCCGGTTTTATTGGCCAATACTGATAACACTTTCTTGCTACATCATCTTCCATTGTCATCTGAGATTGTTCCACAACACAAACGATCAATTTACAACCATCCTTTATGGTTAATTTTAAAACATTTCAATGATAGATGATGAAAAATGTGAAATGATTATTTGTTCAATAGAAAGATTGTGATAAATGATCAACACAATAAAATGTGAAAATGAGAAAAAAAATATTCACTCACTTCATCGATGTTTCTGTCATTGCATGTCAGGGATAATTTAAATTATTTCAAAAACAATTTCTTACAAAACAATTCGCTCAAATAATCTGTCATCTGCGTTTAATATTTTTAGCCATCAAAAATGTAATAAATGAACAAACCTGCCAAACCATTCGCCAGAAATCAATTGTTGTTTCCTTAGTTGGCGCTTGGATAATGATGTAATCTTCACGGTTGAAGCTGGCATATGTTGCAGGTAAATAATCATTGTCTTCTGTTGTTTTCGAGCTCAGCTTTACACGCTTTTTCTCAAACAACGGAACCGGAACACGGTTTTTTTTCTGCAAAAATCAGAAGAGAAGAATAACTTAGAAGAGAAGTTGAAATAAATTTGCACAGTAGGAGGTGGCTAGTTCGAAATTGCTTTTCATATTGATATTTTGCAAAAGATTAGTTCTGCAAGCTAACATGATTTTGATTTTTGACTTGAAATGAATTTAATTAAATTGAGTATACTAGAAATCTTATTAAATGAAATTATTGTCATTTGCTTTTTAGTTGATTACTTTTCATTCATTTAAATAATTAAACTTAAAAGAGCAAATCAGGAAAGCTTTTAAATTGAATCATAAAACGACCGAATCATTCGTTATTTAAGATTTTATCACCAAAATTAAATTTCGTTTTTCAATCAAAATTTATTTTAAAAAGAGGAGGAGACAGAGAGAGATAGAGAGAGTGGAAAATATACAATTTGTGCGAGGAATGTTGCCGTGTTAGAACTATTAATTGCGGTTGCTGTAACAATGCGATCAAAATGCATATGGCGAGTTTTCGGTAAACTTTGCTTAGCAATTAAAGCTACAAAATCAGCTGGCTTCTCGCCAACTTCCGCAGAACTATCCTATAAAATGCATTTTAAACAATAGGATTTCAGAGTTTTGAAAAAGGTCTAGAAAAAAAACCATCAGGAAAATCCATTTGCTTTTATATTACCATCGTATAAAAAATACAAATAATTTAAGCTATTAAATAATCCTCACAAAAAGTCTAAAACGTATAGTATGGGGAAAGTTCCCTTCGTAATATGTAAATCGAATTATGCTTTAATATTTCAATTTTTGAAATTAATTAAAAATTCCCGAGAGCTCTTTTTTCTAGCCATTAATATTTTTTTTATGAAAATGAAATATGCATGCGAAATTGTGTTAAAGTACACCCATCACATAGCAACTACGATATAAATCTCTAATCCATTCTACTGCTATTTGAAACCTTCTGCGAAGCGCTTCTCCGTTGTTTAACGCTTGGTCGACTAGCCATTATCCAATAAATTAGGACAAGTACATTTTTAATTATTTTATCGAATTTAAATCATTTTTTTCCTTGTTTGAATAGGTCATTTGCATAATAAATTTTGCAAATTTTAGACATCACAAATGTAGCTAAGATTATTTTTTTGTATTTATTGAAAAATTTTACAATCAGTCATATTGAAAAAAATCAATGAGTAGCTGACATTATTGACACTTTAAGGCATTTTTTTAATGCAATATAAATATACTAATATGTGTCAAAATAATCGTTGTTCATTGAAGTGAACAAACGAATGAATACTGTTTTAGAATGAAATTAAGATTATTGTTTAATTTTAAGTTTTGGACTGCTATATACAAACAATAAAATTGACAATCAAAAACAAAATTTTGATTTTTGAAAAACCTAAAAAAACTTTATTGTTACAGAAATCAAGTTTATATAATTAGTCATATCACTGATTAATTACACATTTAAAATCAATTGAACTGTATTGGTATATACAAATACTTTTAATGTTAATTGTTATCCGTAAGAATTTATTGGGCTTTTGAAAAAAGATCAAACATTCATGCTAGTTTTTCTCTTTAAGGGATTATCTTTCTGCTAATCTCACTAATTACTGTGTCATTATAAAAAAGCAACACACTGAAATTGAAATGAAATAAAAAGTAGGCTTGATTTTTATTTTTTAAGTTCGAATTAAAAAAATTATCTAATCAAAATTAATTGTTTGTTTAAATTTTTTGTCAAATGGTACAAAAACCGCTCCTTTTTTTCATTGACAATAATGGTTGTAGCAATTTCAGATATCAAATCAATTCTTCAATAATCATCTCCCCTAAAAATTATTTTGATTATTTCACTCTGACTCAGTTACTTAATTGAAAGGATGATTACATAATTTTTCTCTGTTGTACATAGCAGAGATTTCTGAATTTATTTGAAGAGTCTAAAATATACATCCGTTTTATTCTAATTTAGAAGCCATGAATACAAAATTGTTTTTAAAATCGTTTCTTCATTTGTCTACTAATTATTGTCCATTTATTCGTCATATTTGTCCATCAGATTTCGAGATATTATCATTTGTGATATATTCCATAAATGCCGTTTACATACAAAATTATTAATTATTAAAACGTTGTTTACTTAAATCTTCGTTAATCAATGAGATTTATTGCTCGAATTATTTATGTTTGCAATAATTTCAATACTTTGAATTACTGATTGAATGTAAGAAATTAATTGTTTTAAAGTGCCCATTAAATTATTATCATAAACTGTACTGAGGAAAATTTTTAACTTTCGTAATGAATTTATCTTTGAAATTGAAATCAATTAAATTAATAAGGAGAGTAAGCGTGTTACTCTTTCCATTACAAACATATAAATATGCGATAAGTATTTAGTGTATATTATTTCATTAATTTACATATCTATTTTGTCTCTAACAAAAAATCTTCTTTCAAATAAAATGCCATGGAACAGAAAGGCAAAGAACAACTGTCACCAACTCAGAACAGTTTAAGCAAAAATGAACGAATGAGTTTTTTTTTTGACAGCAATTATATTTTTATTGTTAACTAAAAGAAAAATTGCTAGTCACTTTATGATTTCAATATTTCTAAAATTTTAATTATTTTGTTTGCGCACATTTTTTGTCGAAGTTGAACAATTATCAAGGACAGTACGAGCTTTATCAAATATGAACTAATTATATATTTGATCAGTTTTTTATTAGAGTAAAAAACAGTCATTTCAGGATTCCATCTTCCAAATGTACGTTCCATATTTCTCTGTATTACTTCGTTTTTTTAGAATTTTTAATCAATTTATTTGATAGTTATAATCCAAAAATTTGTTCATTATTGAGTGAAAAAATTGTACATTTTCAATTTGCTGATTGTTTTCAAATTGGTTGAATTAATTTATTGAAAGAATTGACTAACGATGAAGGAAATATTACCATTGCATGTTGAATTATAGCGATTAATTAGAAAGAAGCGTTATTGTATTACTTCTCCACAGATGTCCTGCTCGGAAGTAAAAGCTAAATGCATGAAAGCAATGAATGAAGCGGGCCGTGTTGGGACCGACGATGAAGCGATATAGCATGGAAAAAATTTCGATAAATTGTCTGTTGCATAATTAATTTTTGTTCCAAAAATTTAATTTAGAAATTGAATGAAAAATATTACTTATAGCCTAAATGAGCGCAATGTGTATTATTGTATTAAATTATTACATTCCCTTGACTTTTCACAAATTTCAAATATTGCTATAAGTAAATTTGTTGTTTGAAAAAATTTTGTTCATGTTCATTTTCAATAATTCATTAGTTTTGGATTAACTTTCTAAACTTTAATAATTATGACAACTATTTGCAGTATGTTTGATCATCATCCCATTTATGCATGTATTTCAAAGGTGCCGAAAATTTTACCTCAAAAGACGTTCAAAATAGCGATCGCTTTGCCAAACAAGGGATTAGACGTTTTCTATTAATTTTAAATGCCATGAATAATTTTTAAAGTTATGAAATTAATATAATTTTTTAGATTTTGAGAAAAATTTGAACCAAGCGGAACAGAGAAAAACTCAGAATTGTAAATTTGCAGGGCAGAGAATTTTGCTTGCTATTAGAATTGTTATTAATTATATTAATTT